ATTACTTTTTCCTTGACAATTTTCTTTAAAGCCATTTTTCGTACACTATTAGCCATGCTTGTTTCGAGATGAGATTGACGACTATATTTTTGAAATACATGACTTGACATTGGCGGAGATTGTAATTCATCATCTTTAAGTCTATTTAACCAATTTGGTAAATATGTTTAGAGAGAATCACCTTCACATTGTGCTGCATCAAATAGAACTTTAACCGCTTCAATATCGATATAATTCTATGACATATGAAGAGATAATAAAAGAAATAGAAGATATTTATTTAATTACTTGTTGATCTTCAGAAGTTGGTTCGAACATCATGATAGAAATCTTTTTTTTTTATTGCACAAAAAGTGTCATGTCAAACATCACAACAAAGCAGACAAGATTCTCGGTAAGGACAACGACACGCTAGCAGCCATGACAAATACACAAAAAGAAAAATACATTTTCCATAATTATGGAAAGAATTTTTTTCAATTATATTTCATCCATTGAATCACATTCTCTTCATCTATTTAGAAAATATACAGTATCATAATTTATTCATTAGGTTTTACAGTCATTGATAATTATTTTATTTTAGATATCAGACATACAATAAATGTCTTGATTGTGTTTTATTCAGTATAAAGATTTTTTTTTTGAATAAATAAATCATACTATCATTGAAAGAGCAAAGCACAAAAGAAAGTTATACATGAATGAAAGTAACATAAAAAAAAATACTACATCAATGAAAGTAACATAAAAAAAAATACTACATCAATGAAAGTAACAAAAAAACATACATCAATGAAATCATGAAAAAATTATGTATCAATGAAATCAAGAAAAAAAATATATACATCAATGAAATCAAGAGAAAAAAAAATCATGCATCAATGAAGTCGACAATAATAAATGTTTGTATCTAATTAAACGATTGATGTAATTTAACTACACAAGCATGAAGAACATCTTAATTATAATACCATATTGACATTGATAACCATCAATCAACATGATTTCATTTGTATTAAACTGGTGATTTTCGTTTTTTGTTTGATTTACTTGTGAGTTCACCTAAATACAAAACAATATAGAGAAATAATTTTTGTACAAAATTTACCATTAATAAAATCATCAATATTCTTTGGACTTAAATTTAAAAAAAATTGCTTATAATCATCATAATCATCTATATCTATAAATAAAGAATTAAATATCATAATCAAAAAGATTTCAATACATACCATTATTTTCGTTTAATTCCATCAATGCTTTCCTAGATTTTTGACAAAATTCTTGAAGTTCACTTTTACTAAAAGAGAAATACTGTTTATATAAAAACAGTGAAATATAACTTACATTTTTAATACTTCAAGTTTCTTGGACTTTGTAATTTGTTGATAGATGTTAATATCTTTAACGACATCTGAAACGAAAAATAAACAACTAAGTATAAAAACCAAATAATAAAAACTTACCATTCCAATTTTTTTTTTCATAATTAATATAAATACGTTTATAAATATATTTAACGTTGTCATCTGCAGCTGTTGATCGATCTATAATTAATGCAGGTAAAACCTTAAAAAGGAAAGTTATATTTAGACAATAGCTAACAATAATTCTTACCTCAATATTTGGATTGTTTTTCGCTTTAGATGAATTTGCCATCTCAACGCATGCAGTACATTAAGCTTTTACGTTCTCCATTTTGATTGATTGCATTTGTTTTGCCATTGTATCATCTAATATCTGAACACTCTAAGCAGTACAATACGATTCTCAGACGAACTATATGTGCAAACGTTTGTATTAAAATGTAATTGTTCGTATGTGTTAATTCTTTCTCTTTATATACCTATAGCAGAATAATATTCATATTGGACTAGACAAACGGACGAAAGAAAAAGAGATAATGGCAATCATTCAGATCGGCAACAACCTTGTGTTATTGGTCGTAACGATGAGGGTAAAAACAAAGCATTCTATTAAAAGAAAAATTCTTTATTGAATTTAATTAAATTTTATTCAGTTTAAATCTATCGATAAACGTATGAAAAAAAATTGTTCAAATAAAAATCTATCTATGGAAGAAATATTGGAACATTGTGAAGAAATATTAAAATTCTTCTATGAAGAATCAAGTACAAAATTAAATATAATCCAACAAATATATTAGAGATTTGGTATACATTTTCAAAGAGAAACTTCTCGTTTTTCATTTAAAGATTAATTAATTTTATTTGTAAAGTTTATCAAGATAATTCAGAGTTAAATAATGATTTTGTCAATCGTCAACATTCATATGATGTTTTAACAGAGGAGGGTCGTTAAGATCAGAAGTCTACTCCCTTGAAAAATTCCAATTTTTCTTATAAAATAGTCACATTAAGTCTTAGAAATTTTTTAATACTAAAATCAGATCGATACGAGGTGCTTACTCTGGCTGTAGCCCTTTTGTATACCTCATGATCATATATCCATATAAGATATCATCTATATAGGACTCAAATGCCGATTGTGAGCTAACCATTCGGTGTCTCACTGTGGTCAATATTTGCAACTACCGTCCTTTTCGCGTGAAAAGAATTTTCGTGGGATTAGAATTCCTCTTCTCTTTAGCAAGATTCAGATAGTATGTTCACAAAACCGAGTGTGAGATGAAAATTTTGGCAACACTTTATTCTTCATAAATTTACAGTTTAACATGGATCGGATGAATCTTCATTTCCTGATTAGGATTCCTCTGCACAGTGTGAAATGAACGGAGTGGAGAAGCAAGATGAAATTGGTTGATAGAATTACTGCTGATTCGACTGTATAGTGTTTAAGCGCAGGTTATGTTCAAACATTTGCAAAAACAGTTCGTGGAGTGGGTTAGATGAGAGTGAGAATCATCAAAATAATATCATTCTTAACCTCATCCATCAAAGAAAATCGAAAAACTGAGTGACAGACTGCAAGTCTTTACATATGATCCTCACTGATGAACTAAACTGAATCCACAATTAGACGAATATTTAGAGAAACAGAAAAATCAGTGTTTTATTGTATGTCGTGTCTATCGTCAATACTAAATTTTCTTTAGTTAACTTTCGTTACCAAACAGTTTCTTCGTGACAATACATTTGAATCTATTAGTCTATATTAAAACGTTGCATGTTACTGCAGGGGAATGAAAGGTGAACACGTGCGCACGTGACTGCTAGAGGCATGCTATTGTGTTGGCCAAAAAGTTCTGCAACACTTGCGAAAAAAGTTGATTTTTATGCGCAAATTTATTTAAAAACAATAACAACTACTCTTCAAAATAAAGGCCATCATTTTCAACAATTTTTTGCCACCGATCTGCAAGCATCCGGATTTGATTGAAGTACCATTCTGCCGGCTTCGAATCGAAGAACTCCTGGCACGCTTCCTCAACTTGATCAAATGACTCGAATCGGCGACCACGCAAAAAGTGCCTCATTGATCGAAAGAGGCCGTAATCGGATGGCGCAGCGTCAGGACTGTAGGGTGGATGCGGCAAGACCTCCACTTCCTCCAGTTCGTCAAATTTCTCCTTTGTTTTGTTGGTGGTGTGGGGTTTAGCGTTGTCTTGCTGGAACAAAGCGCATTTGCGACGAACACGGGTCGGGTACTTCTCCTTCAGCTTGTCATAGACACGGTCCAGTTGTTGGCAGTAGAGTTCGGCGTTCACAGCACGGCCATTCGGAACCAGTTCAAAGTGAGGCACGCCCTCAAAGTTCCACCAGACGCAAATCATCACCTTCTTTGCGAAAGAATCTTGATGCGGAACTGATGGCGGATCTTGACCTCGCGGAACCCACCGCTTCTGCCGGTTGTGATTGACCAAGTAGACCCATTTTTCGTCCGAAGTCACAATACGCTTCCAAAACCGATCATCCAATGGATTTTCCAACAATTGACGGCAGACTTCAACACGACGCTTGGCTTGCGCTTCGGTCAACTCGTGTGGATCCTGGCGAGGCTTCTTGTGCACAAAATCCATTTGATGCAGGTGATTGAGCACAGTCTGATGGGACGAGACTCCAAGAACCGACGCCAATTCACGGCTGTTCGATGAAGGCTCATCTTCCAAGGCTGCCCGCAGATCTTCGTTGTCCAACGTTGATGGTCGGCCGGAACGTGGTTGATCTTCGACACTAAGGTCACCGGAATCGAATCGTTTGTACCATCGGGAAACAGTTGTGTAGTGGACAGTTCCTTCGCCTTTAGCATCACAAATCTCTTTCGCAGCATCTCTTGTCGAAAGTTGTCGCTTCCAACAATAGCGTATCAAGACTCGAAGCTCGATTTTGTCCAAGGTCATCTGAAACTTTGAGGATAAGTGAACACTGAGTGACTGACTGGGGAAATGATAATGATAGATAGGAAACAGCGGTATATATAGTATGAACATTGCTTAAGAACATTACACAAGAACACGTCATATGTCTGAGAAAAGTGCATAGAAAGTTCTAGAAGGTACATGCAAATACTGAACAATGGATAGATAAAGATGGTCACATGGACAGACACGTGACCGCTTAGCCACTATATCACAAAAATCAACTTTTTCGCAAGTGTTGCAGAACTTTTTGGCCAACTCAGTATATATAACTCACTGTAAAATTGATCAGCCTTTGCTTAACTTAGAAATGCAAAAGTAACGATTCTTTTTCACAAATTCACAATCGACAATGGCAGAACTTTGTGATACTGTTCTCAGCATTGAACATCGCACCAGACCTTGTCTTTCTACTTGGTCCCATATATTTTCTTGGCGTCCATCTTATCTATTCCTACCAAAAAACGATGATGAAATAAAGTCTTTGGCTGAATGGTGTTATCGAACCCATCGACAAGTACATATTGTTGGTGGCTTATATGCAGAAAACGATCTGTGGTGTCCAAGTGGCGAGCAAGAAGAAAGGCACGCCATCTTCGTATCAACTTGAAAATTCAATAAAATTTTGAATGTGAGTGTTGTGTCAATCTTGATTTCAGAAATTGTACGGTCCATCATTCATACACATCTCCAGTTAGAGCTTTGAAGTCGAGCAAAGAAGGAATTTTGAAATGATCAAAGGAAAATTTCGTTTTTTCTTTGATAGAAAAAGATCACTTTCTGCTTTCTTCATAGGTAGATCTTCGAAACAAGATGGTTCATGTTCAAGGTGGTATTTTGATTGAAGATTTAAATAAGCAATTGGCTTCTCCTGAGTTTAACCTTGCTCTTGCTACACAAGGAGCTCAGCCTGCTGTTTCTTTAGCTGGAGCTCTCTCAACATGTACAAAAGGCACTGATATTGATCTTCAATGTTTATCTAGCTATGTCAAAGAATTTTCCGTTATTCTACTGAATGGGTCGTCGAAAACCATCACTAGAGAAGAAAACAAAGAGCTTTTCTACAATATTCTATGTGGCATGGGCTGTTTTCGTTTAATTACATCAGTTATAATGCAATGTGTTGAACTGGAACAACTTGAAGAAACAATAGAATCAATGTCGATGGCTAAGATTATTGCGAACTTTACTGAAATTGCGCATTCAGTGCCACGCGTTCGTATATGGTGGACGTCTTTAGACGGCTACGACCGAGCTTGTATCTCTCGAATTTCTGGTACATCGATGTCTCGATCTGCATCTCGTGAACATTCGTGGTTTCATCGTTGTTTGATGGGGTACTACTTACATCAATTACTTCTTTATCTGTGTACTTGGCTACTATCACTGACATCTTATGTTGTTCGTCTCTTGTATTCATTGAAGCGAGATGTTCCATAACGACAAATCGGTAATCAGAAAGATCTTTTATCGGTGGATTGTTTCTATAGTCAACGTACGTCAGAGTGGTCATTACCTTTCGAACAGACAACTATAGCATTGCAAGAATTATATAGTTTCTTCAATAGAGATAGATTTAATCAAATGAATGGCATGATTGAAATTAGATTTGTCAAAGGAGATCGTTTTCCTTTATCATCTATCTACAGCTCTATGGATGGTCAGATTTTCGTGGATATCGGGCTTGTTCAATACTGTCCCTTTCGTACTAGAGAGCCCAGACTATCTTTTCAACCAATTCTTGCGTTCTTCTGCGCTCTATGTCAACGCTATGCTAGACGTTTTCATTGGGCCAAGGAGATTTCATCAGATATAAAAAATATCAACGATATCAAACGCATCTGTGGAAACGAATACGAAAAGATTTATCAGTGGCTGAGGTCTAGAAACGAGCTTGACGCACATAATACGTTTTGCACAAAGAAATTAGCAACGTTACTAACCAATGAAGATACTGCTAGAACATAAGCATTATCAAAAGTGATATTCTGAGATGACAGATTGCAGAACTAAGTTTGACAAAACATCGATTATTTCATTATGTGTATATTGAGCTTTGGTAACATAATTTTATATTGAATAAATAAACTGTAGTATTGTCTCCTATATTCATTCGAGGGTGTGGATGTGAGTATGAAACAACTCACACTCACACACAAATGTTGAGCATCAAGTATACCTGTAAAACTTGAAAAAGTTTTTCAATCTGGTTCAGTTGGCAAACAATTTACTATAATGGATGTAATGATGCTTGTTGAAAAAATGATTAATTGATTTAGATGACAAAATAGAGAAATATTTCAACAATGAGTCTATAGAAAGGAATAAGATTGCTATGCCACATCTATTAACTCATACATCTGGAATGACTGAATACTCCATTCCTTTGAATCTTCATTCAGATCATACTAAAGACGATATTTATCAAATGATTCAAGATACTTTGGTGATATCATATTGGGACTTTTGATTGATCGTGTAACAAATTAGTTTTACGAAGATTTTCTTCAAGAAAATGTTTTTAATCTTCTCGCGATGAAAACTGCACGAATAATAAATGAAATTGAAATAATTTCAAATCATGCTTCTAGATATCTACTTGTCAATAATGCATTAAAAAATCAAGATTGGGTATCACCTATATTTTGATATATTAGCTGGTAGAAGTTTGTATTTGAATATATATGATATGGCCAAATGGGATGAAGCAGTTTATACTTATCGAGGGTGTGGGTGTGGAGTATCCGTGTGGGTATGGGTGTGGGTGGCTGTCATTTCTCTTTAACCGCACCCACACCCACGCCCATCTGGTCAACAGCAACAACCATTCGTTTCAACAACACCTGCACGTCATTCACAAGGAGTAAAGCGACGAAGTATTTCAGCATCACCACCACGTTTAATAAATAATAATTTACCATCAATATCGAAAATATTAAATAATAATTCTGTCAAAAATACACCATTAGATATTAATGGTGAACCAAATACTCGTATATCAAATATGGAATCACCATTGATTAATATGATACAGATGGTAAACAATTTGAAATCATCTACTTCTCCATATAATTCATCAAAGAATTATCGATGAAAACAATCAATGATCAATTCAAATTTAGAATATATGTCGAAATCCATGGATCATATGAATAAGACAGCACAACACATACAATTTCAAGTATATTTCTTTTTCTTTTATAAGAGAAAAAAAAAATAATTTAGTCATTTTTCTTTTTTTTCAGAATATGAATCCACATCATATGCCAGGTCCATCAGATTTTATGCAAACAAATTTTAATTCACATCATCAGAAGAATTTACCACCATCACATCTACAGAAGTTCAAAATGATGCCTCAACATCATACCATTGATCTCAATGGAATGATTATGCCACACTCAAATAATCCATCATCCTCGTCGAAAGATTTATTACATTTATCATCATTATCTGATCCAATGCAACAACATTTTTATTCTTTATCTCAATCACCACCACCACCTGATCAACAACAAAGACATAGAAGTTTTCCAACCATGATGAACAACAGTTTTAGTCTAGGACCAATACATCATCATCCTTCTCATATGTATCCATCTCATCACCCAATGCAGTCAAATGATGTTGGAATACCACCTAAACAACAACAACAGCTAACAGATGAACAATTAATACGCAATCTTGCTGAAGAATTAAAAACATATCTACCACGTAATTAATTCTCTCTCTGATTTTTTTTTCTGCTTTTATTTCACTTATTGTGATAGTTTCTTCCTTTTTTTTCTTCTTCTTATTACATATGTTATTAAAATGCTCAACTATTAAATTTAAATAAATGTAAAAAACAAAAACTAATAATGATGTATTCTTCTGCTTTTGTCATTTTGAATGATATCATACAACACAAAGAGTGTATAATGTTCTCGATAAACGTAAGATTGATCTATTGCACAATGTATTTGAAAGAAATAAGTCATTTTTCTTTTATGAAATAAAATCTCATTAACGATTAATCACATATCTATTCTATCTAAGAGAATTTATTTTCATTGCTTTAGATTCTGTTTTGCTCATATTTTCTTATTAAACAAAAATGACAACAGAAACTAAATTCACTATTTCATCAGAACATACATCAACTACTATATTTCATGTAATTTCAAGTAAAAAGGTAAAGAAAAGACAAAGAATTTCATTTGAATAATCTGTTCCTTTTCAGAACAAGTAAACGAATAATCAAAAGGAATCAATCACTAAAACTTATTTCATATCATGTTTATCGATATTTTACATTCATTACTTGAAGATGAGCAAATCCTAATTGAGATGGTTCAAACAAATTTGATGTTGTTATGATTGTTTTTATCTATTCTCAAGTTGTTTTATATGATGTTGATTTCAGTTGTGGAAAGTTTATGGATACGAAATCAGATGGTTCTATTTATTGAAATCAATGTTTTGATCATCTCAAATGCCTTAATCATAGTTTATTTCCAGAAGTAGGAAAATCTTGTTCAAATCTTTTACTTTAAATCTTTAGTTGAGGATTTAAAAAGTTCATTATAAAAAAGTTAATTAATTATATGCAATCAAATGTTTATTAATAAAATCTCGTGTCAAAGACGATTATAAAGATTTGATCCCAGAACGGGACATACCTGGGTTTATAGAGTAAAAGTTCTTCTATCCAATGGTGTATATATCATCCAATTCTATTGCGTACCGTAAGAGGATGAGTTTTGGCTTGATTCTACACGATTTTGACTCCAGTTTAACTCATCCCAAAATCGAAATCCTTTAGAATCAATCCAACACTCATCCTCTCACGGTTCCCAACAGAATTTGAAAATCTATACATCATTGGATAGAAGAACTATCACTCTACAAACCTACATATGTTCTGTTCTGAAGTCAAATATTACCCTGAAACTTATAGTCGCCTTTGATCGATATACAATTTCCAAAATCCAAAAGAAATCTAAATCAGTCAAATAGAATTTTAGTGATGAAATACTAGAAGTTCTTTTTCATAAAACATTTTCAATGCATCAAAATATTTATTCTTAAAATAATACATCCATGAGAAGTATGTGAACATACATATATTGAAAGTGAGTTACTTTCATCAAAAGTCCATTTTCTACTAAATGAAATATTCTCTTCTATTTCGAAATATTAGAAAAAATATGAAGAAAAAAATCAATTGAAAGTTCATCAGATACGAACAGATTCAAAATTATTCATATAATGTCTTAAAGAAAGAAGAAAAAAAGAAAGATAACAACATTTGTTCAGTCATTGACAACTTTGATTATTGAAAAATATCTTATTGTTCTTCTTTTCACTATTGATGTCATTGGTCAAATTGAACAAATAAACATACATATATTAATATCAATTCTTGAGAGATAGAATGAACAGAATTATTAAACATAAAAATGAATCGATCATGTGTTCAATTAAAGGATTTACCTGATGAACTTCTTATATTCATTTTCAAACAAATGAATAATATTGAAGTTTTTTATTCTTTATTCGGTATCAATGAACGATTGGATTTAATTCTACAAGATCCAATATGTACAAATCGTTTGAATTTCTTGAAAAGGTCTTCAAAGAAATTTCTCAACATATTTTCTCCTGATATTATATTTGATCGATTTTGTTTACAAATTTTACCAGCAGTTCGTGAGAAAATCTAATGGCTTGATGTTGAATCATCATCTATGAAACAAATTCTATGTGCTGCTGATTATCCTAATTTATATCGACTGGGTCTATTCAATATCGAAGAAGAAACAATTAAAAGTCTTTTCACTGGTAAGAAAATCTCAAAATGCAATTGTTATAATAGTAAATAAATGAGCAATTGATTAAAATTAACATGACTATTGTTTGTTAATATTATTATTTCTATATTTAGATGTAAATCTTTCATCTGGTCTTTTTAAAAATCAAATTACTAAACTTCTAATTACAATTGATGTTGATCGGAATCAGAAGCATTATTCAACAATGAGATACATAAGCAATCATATTTTTAGTGTGTTTAAGAAGTTAACTCATTTAATATTTTCTGAATCATCATATCAAAATATCGTTACATTGCCATTTATTTATCCACCAATCAATTTTTGTTCTTCAACTCTTTTGGTATTGAATATTAAGATTGATTGTTTTGATACATGTTTATATCTTCTCGATGGTCGTTTCAATCAACTTCACACACTCATTGTGGAGTCAGCCGACATTAGGACATCAGCAAAAATTGAAAATCAAGTTAGTTTTTGTTAGAAGAAAAGAAATTGAAACTGCTTTTATTTTTTGGTTTCTAGGGAGATATACCAAGTCTAAAGTGTTTTTCCTTGTCTTGTGTTTGGGAAATAGATTGTTATGATAAATTGATTCTCCCATTTCTTTATCGAATGTCAAATTTAGAAATACTCAATTTATCTCTTTCGATTTTAGTTAAAGAAACATTCATTGATGGACATAATTTGAAGAATAAAATTATTAATCATATGTCACAATTAAATAAATTCACATTTAATATTTGTTCGGTTATGAGAATTAATAATCAAATAATTTTACTATCAAAAGAAGATATTCAAAATACATTCAAAGATTTTCAATATACACAAATGATATGTTATATGGATCATTTTCGAAAGAGAAAAGAATGTCAATGTCATGTATATACATATCCATCTCAAATGTCATATTATCAATATTTATCAAATCAATTTCCAGGTGGATATTATTCATATGTTCGTTTTGTATCATTATATGATGAATATCCTTTTGAACATGAATTTTTTCTTCAAATAGCTCAATCATTTCCATTTATAGAAAAATTAGTTTTAATTAATCGTGAACCACAACAACACAAACAATCTTACAAATCTATGAATGATAATTGTCATTTATCAATTGTTGAATATTCTCATCTTATTGAGCTTAACATTGAACAGATTCATGATGATTATGTTGAAGAATTTCTATGTGATACAAAAACATGTTTTCGAAAGAATATTCGTCTTGGTATTGTTGATAAAACTTTGTTAAGAGTAACAAAACATTTTACAAGAAAAGATACTCGAAGGAATTGTATCAAGGTAGACAGTTTATTACCGTGGAGTGATTGGAGATCTTTGAAATCTTTTCAAGAATATTTTCCTTCTGTAAAAAGAACTGATTATATTTGTTCGTTTTTTACGTAAAATAAATGAATATTGTATTGAAAAATAAACAGTTCATGTATTGAATGAAAGAAAAAGAAAGGAAAGTTGATTTGTATATGACTATTAAGAATTGATGTCTATTGAGAAATGCAAATAGCGTATATAAGAAGATGAAATGTGTAAGAAAAGATTTATTTTATTCAATAGAAATATCAGTGTAATTTCAGACATTTAATATTGATCAATGAATCGCAAACGAACACTAAAATATCTAAATTTTGTTACCTTATTCGTAAACTCAAAAAGCTTGTTAGCGCAGCTCCTTTGGGGTTGAAATGTGGAACTTACATATTCTGTATAAACTAGCAGAGAATTTACTGTTAACTTTTTATGTAATTAAATATGCTTTAAAGTTTGAGATAAACGAAGTGGAACAATAAAAGGCAAATATGATAAAGAAAATGTTTGGTTATGTATGGTAATTAACATTTATGAGAAAATATCAAGTTTTTTGTTTTTCTTTGGATTATATCCGATATTATTAAAGTTGTTATGGTTTCTTTAAGGTTTAAAACTAAATAGAACGTTGATTAGTTTATGATATAGAACTTATTTTGTTTTACATCAAAAATAATACTATTGTTTTAATGGTATTATAAAGAAAAACAATATACGACAATGTTGTAAATATAAGAATTAATAAATTATTTTAATAACATTGGTGAGGAATTATAATAGGTACAGATAGATATTTTCGCGCTAGATATAAGAAAAAAAAAGAATTGACATAGTACGATATATATATACATATAGATGAAAAAATTATTCTATAAATTTATCAGCTAATCAGTATTACATATGAAAAAATATTATGAAAGAATGTAACGAAATGTAGGGATTTAATTTATTTTTGCAATTCCATTAAACTGAGAAAATGAATGACTACTAGTTTGTATATATATACTGTACAGTAGAAAAGAATCAGCACGATGTTAGTGAAGGAAAAATGAGATGATCTCTGATGCTGGAAACCATTTTGATACCATGGAAATCAAAGAATTCGCTTGCAAAAAACTTTCTCATAAAACATCTGTAAGCCATCGTGATCTTCTAGAATACATTACATTTTCGAGTTCCAGCTTCGAGAAAATATTTGACAATAAGCTACAAATGAAAAGGCATCATTTTGGAATCATTGATCCCCACTTCAGTATTCTGAATTGTATTTAGGAAAAACAAATGTCATTTCAATATGTAATGAGTGATTGATAAAGGTTGGGGCACTTTTATTTTCTTTTTCGGAAACTGAAAGCACACTTCAAGTGTTTTATTGCATGCTCAATAGACAGACCATTCTGCATCCTGTAAAATTCCTGACTTTATTTTCCAGATAGGCTTCATTATTGTCGAAAAATTGAAAAGATTAATAGATACCTAGTCATCCGAGTAGGATCTTCAATATTTCGTTTGAACATTAATCGATTTATGTAAGGTTCTGTGCCATGAAGTTCTATTCTAACTTGGAAGTTTTTCGACTCAAAAAATAGAGATTTTAATGTTCTCCATATCTATCATCTTCGTAAGATTTAGTCCGAATAAAAACGATGTAAAATTTAAACTGATCAAAGAAAATATTTAGATTGGACTAAAATATGAATAAACATTGCTAGACATCTACTAAAAAAAGAACTTTTCAGGGTTTCGAATTATTATTTAAAAACTTTTTTCTCGAATACTTTTTTCAAAACCTTTTTCACATATATCGACTGGTTGAGAATTCCATGAAGAATTTTATAGCATATTCCAAATTTGGCTACACCTGTTATTTCGAAAATGATTTATCAATCTGTTTTTTTAAACTGTCGTATTTGGACAATCGAGCATTGGTACGTTTTTCTAGCATTTTATCTACAAGAAAAACTTATGATAAATCCAAAGTCAAGAATATTGAAGAGCAAAACATTCTCTATATATGAAAAGAACTAAAAATGGAACCTTTGAAATGTGATTGTAATTTTCAGAAAAAGAAAATAAAAGTATTCCATTCTTTATGAATCATCCATTACAATTAGATTATTCTATACTACCGATCATAAAAATATACCTTAGTTAAAATCTACAAGTCATAATTAAAAATACAAACAGGATTGATAGAATTTCAATATATTGCAAACCGTCAAAATATATAAGACATGGATTGAAATTAATGAGGGTGTGGGTGGTGCTCTTTTCATAATCATACCCACACCCAAGTTCACATTCTCATTAATTAAACAACTGAGAGAAACAATCGACCACAGTTTGAAAAATAGAAACGATTTCGTCTCAAAAGTCAACCAAGTAATATTAGAAGAAGATGACAGAATGGCAAGTTTGGATGTCCAAGATCTATTTAACAATGTACCTATTCAAGCATCTATCGATATAACTATAGATAGAATAGACCAATTGGAAGCTTTTTGCAATTCCAATCTATCAAAATCAGATCTAGAAGAACTTTTTTCAATATGTCTAAATAATAGATACTTAACATTTAATGGAAAATATTATCGTCACTACTATCAGATCTATTCATGCATAACTACATAAACAAACAAATGAATGAAGTAAAACACAAGCTCTGGAGATACGTGGACGAACTGTTTATTATTACAAAAATGACAGAAGACCAACTTAAAATTTACATCGATAAACTAAATTCACAAAGAAGTACTATAAAATTTACCTATGAACATGAAAACAACCAACAAATAAACTACCTAGATACTACATTAACAAAAGATACCAACAACTACAGAATATCCACACGCTGGTTCCGCAAAGAAACAGCCAGCGATCGATTTTTAGATTACCACTCCTGCCATAGCAAATTTATCAAAGAGAATATCATCAAAATCATGACAGAAAAACTAATTACCATTACTACAAACAATCAACAACAATTTGAAGATCTTTAAAAATTAAAAAATATGTTTTTAAAGTCCAATTACCCACCACATATAATATCAACAATTATTAAGAAAACATTACAAAATAAAAACAATGATGAAAAGATAAAAACAACTCAAGAAAAGAATAAGAAAAATGAAACAATAAATCTTACACTCTCATATACACATGGGATGAAAGACTTGAAAAGAAAGTTAGAGAAACTCAATGTCAAACTCTATTTCTCATACAACAAGAAATTAAGTTCTATCACAACAACTAATATGAAACCACAATCACAGTCTATCGTCTATCAAATAGATTGTCAATGTGGAGCCATATACAATGGTGAGACTAAAGTTGGCTTACTTAACAGAATGAAACAGCACGACAATGCAATCGAAAAAGATGAAGAATCAAATAAGTCTGAAATCGTACGACATCACCACGAAAAGAAATGGCAATGTACGTTTCACCCTATGAAAGGATTTCCAATAGACAATGAAATTAACTACAAAAAAAGAAAAATTAAAGAAACCATATACTCGTTCATAAACCAATCTATCAACAAACACGATAAATTAAACAGCATGTGGAACGGAATACTACTCAATCACCAAGCAAAAATCAAGAACAAAATACGCTTTAAAAAAAAACAACATCTTAAAGAACAACAAACACAACAATTACAAACATAGTGGGGACAAGACGGTAAACTGGTACGGACAACTAAATACAGAAGAAAAGAATTCCAGTCTCTACCGTCTTGTCCGCACCAGTATATATATGTATATATAAAGAAAAAGAAACAATAGATTTGACAACTATAAATGACTCATCACCTGATTGTCTTTTAATCTTTTATCTGCTTTATATATTTTACTCTGTTATGTACATTTGTTTTATCAGTATTTAATCATTTTAACTGTTCGAAATAACAATATTTTATAAATAAATAGGAGGAGAACCCTTATAATAAATAATGTGAATAGTATCTATTATGAAAATATCACCCAGTTCCACAATCGTTTCGATTTTAGCATAATAAGAAGACTGTCCAACTACTGAGATACTATGTATATATACGAAATGTCATTAACAGTAATTACATAGGTTCTTCTCCTGTTCTACATATATGTTCGAAATAAGATGAATCGAGATACCATTGGATAGAGCTCATAGAGTTGTACTTGAACAGAGAATAGGAACGTTGGACCAAGTTTCTAGGTGAATCGCTGTCGGAATTACTCGAATCGGCTGCTAACTTCACCTACGTTAGCATTCACGAAACATTATAGTTTCGTCAAAAATGCACTAATGTAAACATCTGCCATTGAGAAAACTGATAATCAGCAGAGCACTTACAGCATGCCGTGTGCCTTCATATTTTCTATCAGATGATCTCTTTCTTGTACGCAGATTTGTTGGTAATAGTTTTCGTTTCTCTTGAATATGTTTGAGAACTTTGTTAAGCTCTCTTCGCTCCGTTTCGTCGTGACACGTAGAATAAAAGAAAGAAGAAAAAGCATAAGTAAAAGTTTTGGAAGATAAGAAAACATATAGAGAGAAGATGTCAACATTGTGACACTCAAGAAACATATCATGAGTGTAATGTTCTCAGCATGATGAAATACTAAAAGTCACTTTCGCTGGTTATATTTTGTGAAGTTAAGAGATATTATAACTGAAAATATAATGTTTCTTAAAAGACTTAACCAAAAGGAAAAAGTGTAGTATATTGAAATGGACTTTTTTGAGCAGTTCGAATCATCGATTTTGATGAAAACTTGACGACATGAGTGATACTACACACATGAAATTTTAGAACTTTACGTTTATCAATAAAACATTAGCATAAAATTTTCTTCATATCATGACTTGAATAATTCTTCTTTTTTCTTATAAAAGAACTTCAATAAACCAGTTACATAAACAAATATAGAAAAAAAAAAAGCTTTTCATATTAGATTTTAACATTGTTTTCCACAGTATCATTTGAAAAAAAAGAAAATACAAATAGCAAGATTAAATATGTGAAAATAAATTTCTACAATAAAAAAGAAGTAGTTGCTTGTTTAAAGTATTCAAAATTGCTGGAATAAAATAAGGAA